GTGTCACCTCCAGCTGTCCCCGTGCCACCTCCAGCCCCAGCAGGGAACGCTCCCGAGGGAGTGCCCAGCACAGCCCAGGGGCTGCCAGGGCCCAGAACGGGCCTGTGGCTGTTAATTACCACAGGCTTTAATTAATGAATGAATGACCCTCAGTGGCTGTGGGGCCAGGCCAGGGTCAGTGACTGTGGGGCTGGGCTGTTAATTAATGAGGTTTAATGCCTGTTAATTAATGAGGTTTAATTAATGAACTAATGCCCCTCAGTGGTTGTGGGGCTGGGCCGGGGGCAGTGGCTGTGGGGCCAGGCTGGTAATTAATGAGGTTTAATTAATGAACAGATGCCCCTCAGTGTTTGTGGGGCCGGGCCGTTAATTAATGAGGTTTAATGAGTAAATGAATGCCCCTCAGTGGCTGTGGGGCCAGGCTGTTAATTACCGAGGTTTAATTAATGAACAGATGCCCCTCAGTGGTTGTGGGGCCCGGCCGAGGGCAGTGACTGTGGGGCCAGGCCATTAATTAATGAGGTTTAATGAGTGAACAGATGCCCCTCGGGGGCTGTGGGGCCAGGCCGGTAATTAATGAGGTTTAATTAATGAACAGATGCCCCTCAGTGGTTGTGGGCCGGGCCATTAATTAACGAGGTTTAATGAGTGAACAGATGCCCCTCAGGGGCTGTGGGGCCGGGCCATTAATTAATGAGGTTTAATTAATGAACAGATGCCCCTCAGTGGTTGTGGGCCGGGCCATTAATTAACGAGGTTTAATGAGTGAACAGATGCCCCTCGGGGGCTGTGGGGCCAGGCCGGTAATTAATGAGGTTTAATTAATGCACAGATGCCCCTCAGTGGTTGTGGGCCGGGCCATTAATTAACGAGGTTTAATGAGTGAACAGATGCCCCTCGGGGGCTGTGGGGCCAGGCCGGTAATTAATGAGGTTTAATTAATGCACAGATGCCCCTCAGTGGTTGTGGGCCGGGCCATTAATTAACGAGGTTTAATGAGTGAACAGATGCCCCTCGGGGGCTGTGGGGCCAGGCCGGTAATTAATGAGGTTTAATTAATGCACAGATGCCCCTCAGTGGTTGTGGGCCGGGCCATTAATTAACGAGGTTTAATGAGTGAACAGATGCCCCTCGGGGGCTGTGGGGCCAGGCCGGTAATTAATGAGGTTTAATTAATGCACAGATGCCCCTCAGTGGTTGTGGGCCGGGCCATTAATTAACGAGGTTTAATGAGTGAACAGATGCCCCTCGGGGGCTGTGGGGCCAGGCCGGTAATTAATGAGGTTTAATTAATGCACAGATGCCCCTCAGTGGTTGTGGGCCGGGCCATTAATTAACGAGGTTTAATGAGTGAACAGATGCCCCTCGGGGGCTGTGGGGCCAGGCCGGTAATTAATGAGGTTTAATTAATGCACAGATGCCCCTCAGTGGTTGTGGGCCGGGCCATTAATTAACGAGGTTTAATGAGTGAACAGATGCCCCTCGGGGGCTGTGGGGCCAGGCCGGTAATTAATGAGGTTTAATTAATGCACAGATGCCCCTCAGTGGTTGTGGGCCGGGCCATTAATTAACGAGGTTTAATGAGTGAACAGATGCCCCTCGGGGGCTGTGGGGCCAGGCCGGTAATTAATGAGGTTTAATTAATGCACAGATGCCCCTCAGTGGTTGTGGGCCGGGCCATTAATTAACGAGGTTTAATGAGTGAACAGATGCCCCTCGGGGGCTGTGGGGCCAGGCCGGTAATTAATGAGGTTTAATTAATGCACAGATGCCCCTCAGTGGTTGTGGGCCGGGCCATTAATTAACGAGGTTTAATGAGTGAACAGATGCCCCTCGGGGGCTGTGGGGCCAGGCCGGTAATTAATGAGGTTTAATTAATGCACAGATGCCCCTCAGTGGTTGTGGGCCGGGCCATTAATTAACGAGGTTTAATGAGTGAACAGATGCCCCTCGGGGGCTGTGGGGCCAGGCCGGTAATTAATGAGGTTTAATTAATGCACAGATGCCCCTCAGTGGTTGTGGGCCGGGCCATTAATTAACGAGGTTTAATGAGTGAACAGATGCCCCTCGGGGGCTGTGGGGCCAGGCCGGTAATTAATGAGGTTTAATTAATGCACAGATGCCCCTCAGTGGTTGTGGGCCGGGCCATTAATTAACGAGGTTTAATGAGTGAACAGATGCCCCTCGGGGGCTGTGGGGCCAGGCCGGTAATTAATGAGGTTTAATTAATGCACAGATGCCCCTCAGTGGTTGTGGGGCCGGGCGCGGGCGCGGGCCGCGGGCTCGCTGCTGGAGCGCGGGTTGCGGATGGTCTCGTCCACCGACACCACGAGGCACGCGGCCTCCGACGCCGCCGTCAGCGCGTTGATGCGCACCACCGCCGGCTCCCACACACACGCCGAGAAATTGTCTGCTATGTCCTCGTTGGTGACATCCACACCGTACCACATCCCGCCCTGGGGACACAGGGACAGGGGTCAGTGCCACATCCCACCCTGGGGACACAGGGACACAGGGACAGGGGTCAGTGCCACATCCCGCCCTGGGGACACAGGGGTCAGTGCCACATCCCGCCCTGGGGACACAGGGGTCAGTGCCACATCCCACCCTGGGGGACAGGGGGGACAAGGGGGACAAAGGTCATGGGGCTGGGTGGCAAAGGTGAAGGGAGAGGCCAGAGCCACCCTCGTGTTCCGCTGTGAAGGAAGCGTGTGAGGGAAACACAGAAATCCAAAGTGTGTGAGGGAAACACAGAAATCCAAAGTGTGTGAGGAAAACACAGAAATCCAAAGTGTGTGAGGGAAACACAGAAATCCAAAGTGAGAAATCTTTGCTTTCAGCCACCAGAGCCACTGAAGCCTTCTCAGAGCAGGCTCGCTCCAGTTCAGCATCACAGAGTCCCCGAGGCTGGAAAAGCCCTCCCAGAGCATCCAGCCCAGCCCTGTCCCCAGCCCCGAGTGCCACCTCCAGTCCTTCCCTGGACACCTCCTGGGACGGGCACTCCAAACCTCCCTGGGCAGCCCCTGCCCTGCAGCCGTGGAAGCCTCACAGTTCTGAGTGTCCCTGTGCTCCTGTCTCACAGTTCTGAGTGTCCCTGTGCTCCTGTCTCACAGTTCTGAGTGTCCCTGTGCTCCTGTCTCACAGTTCTGAGTGTCCCTGTGCTCCTGTCTCACAGTTCTGAGTGTCCCTGTGCTCCTGTCTCACAGTTCTGAGTGTCCCTGTGCTCCTGTCTCACAGTTCTGAGTGTCCCTGTGCTCCTGTCTCACTTCTGAGTGTCCCTGTGCTCCTGTCTCACAGTTCTGAGTGTCCCTGTGCTCCTGTCTCACAGTTCTGAGTGTCCCTGTGCTCCTGTCTCACAGTTCTGAGTGTCCCTGTGCTCCTGTCTCACAGTTCTGAGTGTCCCTGTGCTCCTGTCTCACAGTTCTGAGTGTCCCTGTGCTCCTGTCTCACAGTTCTGAGTGTCCCTGTGCTCCTGTCTCACAGTTCTGAGTGTCCCTGTGCTCCTGTCTCACAGTTCTGAGTGTCCCTGTGCTCCTGTCTCACAGTTCTGAGTGTCCCTGTGCTCCTGTCTCACAGTTCTGAGTGTCCCTGTGCTCCTGTCTCACAGTTCTGAGTGTCCCTGTGCTCCTGTCTCACAGTTCTGAGTGTCCCTGTGCTCCTGTCTCACAGTTCTGAGTGTCCCTGTGCTCCTGTCTCACAGTTCTGAGTGTCCCTGTGCTCCTGTCTCACAGTTCTGAGTGTCCCTGTGCTCCTGTCTCACAGTTCTGAGTGTCCCTGTGCTCCTGTCTCACAGTTCTGAGTGTCCCTGTGCTCCTGTCTCACAGTTCTGAGTGTCCCTGTGCTCCTGTCTCACAGTTCTGAGTGTCCCTGTGCTCCTGTCTCACAGTTCTGAGTGTCCCTGTGCTCCTGTCTCACAGTTCTGAGTGTCCCTGTGCTCCTGTCTCACAGTTCTGAGTGTCCCTGTGCTCCTGTCTCACTGCCCAGGTTCTGCACCCTCACTTTGGGCCCCACCATCAGCAGCAGGGTGAAAGGTGCTGGGGGTGACAGAATCCAAGGGACACAGCTCCAAGGACTGGAGCTGCCATCTCCCCAGGATCAGCACTCAGGACGTTCAGCCTGCAGCTCCTGTGTAGAACACTCGGCTCAGCCCATCCCTGCACTCTGCTTCCTTTAATGCTCAACACAGCAGCACCTTCCTAACAAATGCTGCGCTTCTGAGAGCAAATCCCAGCTCAGGAAGTCACTGACAGCTGGGATCAGAGGGAAAACAGCTCCTTTCCATTTCTAGCAGCCTGTGCCAGGCCCACACAAACAGGTGCTGGGATGTGACACAAACAGGGCGTTTAACCAAAGGGGACACGGCTGAGCTGGCAGAGCTGCACACACCGGCTGTGACAGACTGCAGGACACAGGAACCCTGAGATCCCTGGGGACACAGCAGAACTGCACACACCGGCTGTGATGGGCTCTGAGGAACCCTGAGATCCCTGGGGACACGGCAGAGCTGCACACACCGGCTGTGACAGACTGCAGGACACAGGAACCCTGAGATCCCTGGGGACACAGCAGAGCTGCACACACCGGCTGTGACAGACTGCAGGACACAGGAACCCTGAGATCCCTGGGGACACGGCAGAGCTGCACACACCGGCTGTGACAGACTGCAGGACACAGGAACCCTGAGATCCCTGGGGACACAGCAGAGCTGCACACACCGGCTGTGACAGACTGCAGGACACAGGAACCCTGAGATCCCTGGGGACACGGCAGAGCTGCACACACCGGCTGTGACAGACTGCAGGAGAGAGGAACCCTGAGATCCCTGGGGACACAGCAGAGCTGCACACACCGGCTGTGACAGACTGCAGGAGAGAGGAACCCTGAGATCCCTGGGGACACGGCAGAGCTGCACACACCGGCTGTGACAGACTGCAGGACACAGGAACCCTGAGATCCCTGGGGACACAGCAGAGCTGCACACACCGGCTGTGACAGACTGCAGGACACAGGAACCCTGAGATCCCTGGGGACACGGCAGAGCTGCACACACCGGCTGTGACAGACTGCAGGACACAGGAACCCTGAGATCCCTGGGGACACAGCAGAGCTGCACACACCGGCTGTGACAGACTGCAGGACACAGGAACCCTGAGATCCCTGGGGACACGGCAGAGCTGCACACACCGGCTGTGACAGACTGCAGGACACAGGAACCCTGAGATCCCTGGGGACACAGCAGAGCTGCACACACCGGCTGTGACAGACTGCAGGACACAGGAACCCTGAGATCCCTGGGGACACGGCAGAGCTGCACACACCGGCTGTGACAGACTGCAGGACACAGGAACCCTGAGATCCCTGGGGACACAGCAGAGCTGCACACACCGGCTGTGACAGACTGCAGGACACAGGAGCCCTGAGATCCCTGGGGACACAGCAGAGCTGCACACACCGGCTGTGACAGACTGCAGGACACAGGAACCCTGAGATCCCTGGGGACACGGCAGAGCTGCACACACCGGCTGTGACAGACTGCAGGACACAGGAGCCCTGAGATCGCTGGGGACACGGCAGAGCTGCACACACCGGCTGTGACAGACTGCAGGACACAGGAACCCTGAGATCGCTGGGGACACGGCAGAGCTGCACACACCGGCTGTGACAGACTGCAGGACACAGGAACCCCGGGAGCCCCGGGGCCGTACCTGGGCGTGCTTGGCTCGCAGCTTGTTGAGGATGTTGGTGGCGTCGAAGCCGGCGTTGTCGCAGAGCTGCCGCGGGATGATCTCCAGGGCCTTGGCGTAGGCGCCGATCAGCAGCTGCTGCTTGCCCGGGATGGTTCGAGAGTAATCCCGAAGGAACTTGGACAGCTCCATCTCGATGGCCCCGCCACCGGCCACCACCGAGTCATTCTGCAGGGACAGGCACAGCAGCAGGGCTGTCAGGCTGTGTCAGGGTGTGTCAGGGTGTGTCAGGGCTGTCAGGGTGTGTCAGGGTGTGTCAGGGTGTGTGTCAGGGTGTGTCAGGGTGTGTGTCAGGGTGTGTCAGGGTGTGTCAGGGTGTGTCAGGCTGTGTGACAGGGTGTGTGTCAGGGTGTGTCAGGGTGTGTCAGGGCTGTCAGGCTGTGTCAGGCTGTGGCAGGCTGTGTCAGGCTGTGGCAGGCTGTGTCAGGCTGTGGCAGGCTGTGTCAGGCTGTGGCAGGCTGTGTCAGGCTGTGGCAGGCTGTGTCAGGCTGTGGCAGGCTGTGTCAGGCTGTGGCAGGCTGTGTCAGGCTGTGGCAGGCTGTGTCAGGCTGTGGCAGGCTGTGTCAGGCTGTGGCAGGCTGTGTCAGGCTGTGGCAGGCTGTGTCAGGCTGTGGCAGGCTGTGTCAGGCTGTGGCAGGCTGTGTCAGGCTGTGGCAGGCTGTGTCAGGCTGTGGCAGGCTGTGTCAGGCTGTGGCAGGCTGTGTCAGGCTGTGGCAGGCTGTGTCAGGCTGTGGCAGGCTGTGTCAGGCTGTGGCAGGCTGTGTCAGGCTGTGGCAGGCTGTGTCAGGCTGTGGCAGGCTGTGTCAGGCTGTGGCAGGCTGTGTCAGGCTGTGGCAGGCTGTGTCAGGCTGTGGCAGGCTGTGTCAGGCTGTGGCAGGCTGTGTCAGGCTGTGGCAGGCTGTGTCAGGCTGTGGCAGGCTGTGTCAGGCTGTGGCAGGCTGTGTCAGGCTGTGGCAGGCTGTGTCAGGCTGTGGCAGGCTGTGTCAGGCTGTGGCAGGCTGTGTCAGGCTGTGGCAGGCTGTGTCAGGCTGTGGCAGGCTGTGTCAGGCTGTGGCAGGCTGTGTCAGGCTGTGGCAGGCTGTGTCAGGCTGTGGCAGGCTGTGTCAGGCTGTGGCAGGCTGTGTCAGGCTGTGGCAGGCTGTGTCAGGCTGTGGCAGGCTGTGTCAGGCTGTGGCAGGCTGTGTCAGGCTGTGGCAGGCTGTGTCAGGCTGTGGCAGGCTGTGTCAGGCTGTGGCAGGCTGTGTCAGGCTGTGGCAGGCTGTGTCAGGCTGTGGCAGGCTGTGTCAGGCTGTGGCAGGCTGTGTCAGGCTGTGGCAGGCTGTGTCAGGCTGTGGCAGGCTGTGTCAGGCTGTGGCAGGCTGTGTCAGGCTGTGGCAGGCTGTGTCAGGCTGTGGCAGGCTGTGTCAGGCTGTGGCAGGCTGTGTCAGGCTGTGGCAGGCTGTGTCAGGCTGTGGCAGGCTGTGTCAGGCTGTGGCAGGCTGTGTCAGGCTGTGGCAGGCTGTGTCAGGCTGTGGCAGGCTGTGTCAGGCTGTGGCAGGCTGTGTCAGGCTGTGGCAGGCTGTGTCAGGCTGTGGCAGGCTGTGTCAGGCTGTGGCAGGCTGTGTCAGGCTGTGGCAGGCTGTGTCAGGCTGTGGCAGGCTGTGTCAGGCTGTGGCAGGCTGTGTCAGGCTGTGGCAGGCTGTGTCAGGCTGTGGCAGGCTGTGTCAGGCTGTGGCAGGCTGTGTCAGGCTGTGGCAGGCTGTGTCAGGCTGTGGCAGGCTGTGTCAGGCTGTGGCAGGCTGTGTCAGGCTGTGGCAGGCTGTGTCAGGCTGTGGCAGGCTGTGTCAGGCTGTGGCAGGCTGTGTCAGGCTGTGGCAGGCTGTGTCAGGCTGTGGCAGGCTGTGTCAGGCTGTGGCAGGCTGTGTCAGGCTGTGGCAGGCTGTGTCAGGCTGTGGCAGGCTGTGTCAGGCTGTGGCAGGCTGTGTCAGGCTGTGGCAGGCTGTGTCAGGCTGTGGCAGGCTGTGTCAGGCTGTGGCAGGCTGTGTCAGGCTGTGGCAGGCTGTGTCAGGCTGTGGCAGGCTGTGTCAGGCTGTGGCAGGCTGTGTCAGGCTGTGGCAGGCTGTGTCAGGCTGTGGCAGGCTGTGTCAGGCTGTGGCAGGCTGTGTCAGGCTGTGGCAGGCTGTGTCAGGCTGTGGCAGGCTGTGTCAGGCTGTGGCAGGCTGTGTCAGGCTGTGGCAGGCTGTGTCAGGCTGTGTCAGGGCTCTGTCAGGTCCTGCAGCCGCTGGGACCCTCTGACAGCACCACAGGGACGCACCAAGGGCAGCTCCAGCAGCTCAGCCCAGCTGAGCACGGGACAAAGCAGTTCTGGGGACACCACACCCACGCAAAGGGAGGGATGGCAGCTCACAGCCAACTCGGGCCAGGGACACTTCCCTCGCTTCCACAAAGCATCCAAAACTAAACAAACTGGCAGTGGCACCTTGCAGCTTTCTGTTTCTTCAGGAGATCAAAATTCCTGACGTGCTTCTCCCCAGCCCCTCAGGACATGCAGCCTCAGAGCCGCTTCCACCAGAAGCCACTCCTCCAGCAACACTGGAGTTTTGTGTCACCCAGAAACACCCAGAGCTTGGCAGTGCCACCCAGGACCAAACACCCACCCAGAGAGGCCCTGGACTTTTTGTGGTGCCCCCAGCCTGCCCTCAGAGCCAGGGGACTGTCGTGCCCTCAGAGTGGGCACCAAGAGAGGGGTCAAGTGGCTTTATGGGCACGGACACACACGTGCCATCAATCTGCTGTTCAATCTCCTCAAGATCCACCCAGCACAGCCAGACTGATCCCTTCATGGGGAGGATGGAGCTCCATGAGCTCCAGCTGTCCAGAAGTGCAGGAATGCCTGGAAAGCGGCCGGAAACGCCACCAAGGAACCGCACTTGAGTCAAGGCAGGAGATGCTGCTCAGTGTCCAGAGCCCTGAGCACGGCCTGGGGCGTGAGGAGCTCTCGGCAGCTGTGGCTGTGCCGATGCCCTGGCAGGGCAGGGGAGCTCAGGGCTCACCTTGATGGCTCTCCTGACCATGAGGGCTCACCTTGATGGCTCTCCTGACCATGAGGGCTCACCTTGATGGCTCTCCTGACCATCATGGGGGCTCACCTTGATGGCTCTCCTGACCATGAGGGCTCACCTTGATGGCTCTCCTGACCATCATGAGGGCTCACCTTGATGGCTCTCCTGACCATGAGGGCTCACCTTGATGGCTCTCCTGACCATCATGAGGGCTCACCTTGATGGCTCTCCTGACCATCATGGGGGCTCACCTTGATGGCTCTCCTGACCATGAGGGCTCACCTTGATGGCTCTCCTGACGATCATGATGGCATCGTGCAGCGAGCGCTCCGTCTCCTCCATGAACTGCTCGGCGCCCCCGCGCAGGATGATGGTGCACGTCTTGGCCTTGGGGCAGCCCGTGAAGAAGTTGTACCTGCCAGAGGGAGTGTGTGGTGTGGAGGAGAAGCTGCTGCTGCTGCTGCACAGGCAGTGTGGGAACAGAGCCAACCCTGCAGCCTCACAGCCCCAGAGGATCCTGGGCTGAGGAGGAGCCGAGCCAGGGAACACCGAAGTGAAATTCCAGCTGACCCAGGAAAATCCATCCTCTTCCTGTTGCCAGGGATTGACACTGAACTGCTGCTCCCAGGAGGGCAGCAGCCAGCCCCAAACAGGACTGCTCCTCCAGCAACAGGAGCTGTCCCCAGCTTCACCTGGGAGTGTCAAGCTGGGACATCACAGGAGTGCCACAATCGGCCCCAAAATGTGCTGGTTTTCCATTACAAATGCAACAGTACCTCTGTGCCTTTTACACAGCACTGCAGAATAAACATGGATTTTAACAGCACTTACAAGAGGTTTGAACTCAATAAAATCTTGCTCCTGCCCCTTCCCTCAGCCTCAAAAAGCCTCAATTCTGGCTACAATAAAACAGACATTTTGGAACAACCTTGTTTTCATCTCAACAGCTTGAGAGATGCTGACCCCGCCAATGCTTTGACCCCACCTTTTCCACCTGCTCTGAGAGGGCCTGCAGAGCATTACAGGTTTGCAGCTGGTGTTTTTACCTCTCTCCCCCAATCTGGGTCTCCTCAAAGAGCTCACAGTGGCCCAGCACATCATCTGACAGGGCATTGACACTGGTCTGGATGGATCCCCCACAGGCCTGCAGGGAATGGAGACACACAAATGACCAGTGCTGACAATCCACACCGACCTCCCGGCAGGCTGCGCTCTTCAGGGACAGCCCAGCTGCTGAGCTGCTGCAAACCCATCCTGCAGATTCAGGAAAACCCTTTTCCCTCCCTCTCCTCAGACCCAGACCAACCCTCGACAGGAAAATAAGATTGTACAGCTTCAAGGTGCTGACTCACAGGCTCCAGAGGCCAGGAGATACACAAAGAAAGCTCAGAAAAAACCACTCATGATGGAACAGGGAAAAACTCAGGAAAATAAACCTCCACTGATGCACTGATCAGATCTTTCCATGTCCCACCACGCTGGCAGTGTGGGACTGTTCATCCCACCAGGGAACAGCCCTGTCCTTTCAAATCCCCCTGAGGAGCAGTGAGAGCAGCTGTGCCCAGCCTGGGCTGTCAGAGCTGAGAACAAAGGCTTTCCTGCAGGCCAGGGCAGCTCTCACCATCATGGTCCTCTTGAGATCCTCCTCCGGGACGCGGCCGGCACAGAACATGTCCCTGTCTGCAAAGTACTGGGTGGCCACGTCCCCGATGGGCAGCTTGGACAGCACCACCTTGGCCCCTGACTTGTGGATTTTGTCCAGTTTGTCGTACAGGATGTTCCACTCTGCATCCACGATGGCCTGGTAATCCTGGCAGGAGGGGAGAGGGACAGGTGTCCCTGTGCCAGGGGTGCCACACGCACATCCTGGCACAGAGCAGCTCTGCAGCACTGCCCAACGCCTGCTGACCCTCAGGGGCTCCTGCAGCACCCCAAACCTGCTGCACAAGCTGGCCCTGCAAGGCCACTCGGCACTGAGCTGCTGGCTCAGCACAGCTGGGGCCACAAACGTGTCCTGAACCTGCTGGGATTCCCAGTCTGCTCATTCCCAAGGGCAGCACAGCCCACCAGGCATTTCCAAACGTGGGCAGAAGGCAAACCCCATTATCGTGGGATGCTTTGGGTGGGAAGGGACCTTTTACAGGTCATCCAGTGCCACCCCTGCCATGGGCAGGGACACCTTCCACCCCACCCCATCTCACCTTGGACACTGCCAGGGATCCAGGGGCAGCCCCAGCTGCTCTGGGCACCTGTGCCAGGGCCTCAACACCCTCTCAGACAGGAATTCCCTGCAAAGATCCCATCCAGCCCTGCCCTCTGGCACTGGGAGCCATTCCCTGGCTCCTGTCCCTCCAGCCCTTGTCCCCAGTCCCTCTCCAGCTCTCCTGGAGCCCCTTCAGGCCCTGCAAGGGGCTCTGAGCTCTCCCTGGAGCCTCCCCTTCTCCAGGGGAACATTCTCAGCTGTCCCAGCCTGGCTCCAGCCCTCCCATCTCATCTCTCCCCGGGGGATGAGCAGCCCCAGGTGTGCCAGGGCCAGGGAGCCAGGCCAGGCTCCCCTGTGGCTCTTACCTCCACCGTGTTGACTCTGACCTCGGCGTTGTCCTTCTCAGCTTTCAGCTCCAGCTCCACGTTGAGCAGGGCGATTTTGGGGGACTGGTACTTCTTGGGCTGCATCTCAAACCCAGCGTAGGAGAAAGTTTTCTTAAAGGCAACTCCAGCCACCAGCTGGGAGTCCTGGAACACAGGGATCTGCCTCAGGCTCAGCTCCTGAGGTTTTCTGCACAGGGTTAGTAACAACTCCCACAGGACACTCCCTGCTTCCAGAGGCCTCATTTACAAATGAAGCACTGTCTCCTTTGATTAACCCACTTGTAGAGGAAATGAGCAGCAAGCTTTTCTTTCAGCTCACAAAAGCAGCTTCCTCTCTAGCCCTCAAAACTCCACAGCCAAAAACTCCTCACACATCTTGAAGATCAAGGAGAGGAGCAATCAGTTCTCTCCCTGATCTCTTTCCCATTCCTCCCCTCTGAACTTTTGGATATTTCTCATTCACAGCCCCACTGGGGGCTGGTTTTTGCTCCGATTTGTCTTTCCAAGTTCCATCACCACCTCCTGGATTTTCTGCAGCAGGACAGCCCTGTCCAACACCATTCCCTGGCATGAGCTCCTCCATTTCCTGGGTGAAGAAGTCAGGATCTGAATCTCCCTCTCCCCAGGGGCTGTCCCACAGCCAGGACCAATCCCCTGCCACGTATCCCAGGCACAACAGCTTTTCCAGCCACACCTCCCACCTGCCCTGCCCACCACTAAATCAGCTTCATGAGATCTTCCCTGCGTTTTTCCCAACCCAGTAATCCTACATACAACCAGGACTTTTGGATCCAGAAATAACAAAGATTTCCCACCAAAAAAAAAAAAAATATTTGTGGTGAGATAAATGGAATTTTATCAGCTACAGCTTTTGCTGCAGTGAGGTGAAGAGTGTATTTAGCTCAAAAACCAGAACCCCTACCTATGGAAAAGACACCCAGCCCCACCTGCCAAGCTTCCTCCTCACACCAACAGCTTTGTTCCACTTTGGGAATTGCCAACAGGCACTGTCAAGCCAGGCTGCACTTCTGCTAGAGCCAAGGCAGCACCAGAGCTGGGATTTCTGTCCCCCAGCCCTTCAGGAAGGCTCCAACACTTACTTCCAAAGCTCCTCCTTGCACCTTCTTTATCCCAATCATCTTGAGCTGCAACAAGTCGTCCAACATCATCACAGCATCGACAACCATCTTGGAGAAGAACTCCTTGCTCTGGGAGATGAGCTTGGAGCTCAGGGCTGTGGCTGCACACTTTTCCAGGAGACTCCTCTGCTCACTGCAGGAAAGGAGAAACAAAGGTTTGGTCACCTGCCAGATCTTTTCACAAACCCCAAACACAGATTTAGGCTGGAAAACACCTTTAAGATCATTCGGTCCAACACTGCTCAGGCCACCACTGCCCCTCGTCCCCAAGTGCCACCTCCAAGGGCTTTGAAATCCTCCAAAGGATGGGCACTCCACCCCTGCCTTTTCCATGTAGGAATATTCCCAAAATCCACCCTGAGCTCCCCTGAGGCCGTTCCCTCTCCTCCTGTCCCTGTTCCCTGGGAGCAGTTCCCAAATCCCCCCCGGCTGTCCCCTCCTGCCAGGGACTTGTGCAGAGCCAGAAATTCCCCCTGAGCCTCCTTTGCTCCAGCCTGAGCCCCTTCCCAGCTCCCTCAGGAATTCTCCAGCCCCTTCCCAGCTCCCTCAGGAATTCTCCAGCCCCTTCCCAGCTCCCTCAGGAATTCTCCAGCCCCTTCCCAGCTCCCTCAGGAATTCTCCAGCCCTTTCCCAGCCCCTCAGAGTCCTTCTTGTCATGAGGAGCCCAAAATCCTGACAAAGCCAAAGATCAGCTCCCTCCTGTCAATGGGGAGAACAATCCCAGACTGACAAATCCCAATCTCCTCTTCAGAGCTGGAGCAGCAGCCCAGCCCTGACGAGGCTGGTGGGTTTTTATGCTCCTATAATCCCAAAATCACAGGTGCCTTCCCTCATGCCAAGGCAGGAAGGTGTTTCTGAGAGCCTCTAAAGGCAGCAGATTGCCTGAAGTACTAACTCAGGTAATGCATGTGCAGCTCAGGGGGTGACACACAGGGGGTGGGGAGGTGTGGCTCCAGCTGCCAGGCTCTGTCCCCCGTGGGAACCACTCTACTTCCCATCACAGGATCACATTTGGGATTTTTCCCAGCGTTTTTTTTTTTAGCACTTGGGTTTGGACAGCCCATTTTGGTTTATTCAAGATGCTTATGCAGTTGAAATACTTCAAAATAACTGCAGGGATTAGCAAGATCAGGTAAACAAGAGGTTAAAATCCAGGGAGGAAAGGAACTCCAGTATTCTCACCTCAGCTGAAGGGGTCACTGCTATGAGCTATCTACCTTGCTGTGTGACAGCTAAAAAGGGATCTGATCCTCAGGGAAGTGCTGAGATTTAACATTGCCACTGACTGCAGCAAGAGCTCCAAGACTCCACCGCTGCAAAAAAGAAATCAGGCCACTTATTTTGGTGCCCAGCTTCCCCCCTGAGCGCTGGGAGACACTGCCCTACATCATCCCCTGCAGCCAAGTGAGGGCACAGCACTGCCCCTGGGGGAGCAGGAAATTCCAGGGATGTTGGGAACGACCCCACTGTGGGGCTGCAGCTCCAGGAGCCACCTGGAGCCCGAATTCAGGAGCACCCTGACAGCTGGAGCCCAGGACACAAACAGGTCACCTCCAAGGGAAACTTACTCTTTATCCTCCTTCTTGACAGAGACAGCGATGTCTTTGATCTTGTTCACAGCCTGGCAAAAAGGCAACAGCTGCATTAATGATTTATGCTCCTGAGCTGGTGACAGCTCCAAACTCTCTCCTTGTATTTTATCTTTTATTCTCTGCTCCAACTGAAGTTACAAGTGTTTCAGTTATTCCACCCCTGCCAGCTCAGTAATTCCAAGGATACACCAATAAATGAGGAGCAGGCTCAGAGCTGCTCTGCTGTTTCTGTTTTCAGCAGAGATCCTGGGAATCAAAGGGCTATTGGGGAATGAACCTCCAAGAATCAGCTTAATGGGCCCAACGTGGCTCAACAAAGGACGGCAGAGAACAGGAGAATGGAAAATGAGCTTTCCATTTATTCCTCCTTGCTTGGGAAGAGCCCCGAAGGAAGCACTCCAGAGGTACAGAGTGGTGCCAGTGGGCACTGGCAGCGGGAGATGGCTGTGGGCACTCCCCACACCCAGTGCCAGGTGCCTTTCCCTGGCAGTGTGTGCCCGCCCCAGCCCCCGTGGCTCACCAGCTGCGTGGCCGTGCGGAAGGCTCGGATGATGATCTGGGGATGGAGCCCCTCCTCCACGTAGGGCTTCACCTGCTTCAGGAACTCGGCTGCCAGCAGGGTCACGGACGTGGTGCCATCCCCCACCTGCAGCCACAGGGGACACTGCGTCACCCCCACAGTGCCACCCCTACAGTGTCACCCCAACACTGGGTCACCCCCACAGTGCCATCCCAACACTGGGTCACCCCCACAGTCCCTGTGTCACCCCCACAGTGCCACCCTAACACAGGGTCACCCCCACAGTGCCACCCCTACAGTACCTGTGTCACCCCCACAGTGTCACCCCTACAGTGGGCCACCCCCACAGTGTCACCCCCACAATACCTGTGTCACCCCCACAGTGTCACCCCTACAGTGTCACCCCCACACTGTGTCACCCCCACAGTGCCACCCTCACACTGGGTCACCCCCACAGTGTCACCCCTATGCTGTGCCACCCTCACACTGCAGAGACCACCTGAGAGCAGCTGCAAAACCACTGGAGAGCTTCCAGAGCTCAGGATTTTCTCTGCTCACAGATTTGTGGCTGAATTCCTCAGTGATTCAGAGTGGTCTGGGTTGGAGGGACCCCAAATCCCCCCCAGTGCCACCCCAGCCCTGGCAGGGACAGCTCCCACTGTCCCAGGAGCTCCAGCCCCAGTGTCCAGCCTGGCCTTGGGCACTGCCAGGGATCCAGGGGCAGCCCCAGCTGCTCTGGGCACCTGTGCCAGGGCCTGCCCACCCTGCCAGGAACAATTCCTGCCCAAAATCCCATCCAGCCCTGCCCTCTGGCACTGGGAGCCATTCCCTGGCTCCTGTCCCTGCAGCCCTTGGCCCCAGTCCCTCTCCAGCTCTCCTGGAGCCCCTGCAGGGACTCTCAGCATTCCCTGCATTTTGCCCTTCTCCAGGGGAACATTCCCAGCTCTCCCAGCCTGGCTCCAGAGCAGGCAGAGTAAATCCCAGCACTCCAAGAGCAATTCCCAGCAGCCAGCAGCAAGCCCAGGGCAGCACTGCCACTCGAGCTGCACCCCAGGCACAGCCAGGCTCCCCTCCCACCTCTGCATCCTGGGATTTGGCGATGTCCACCAAGGTCTTGGCGGCAGGATGGACAACGTCCAGCAGCTTCAGGATGGTGGCCCCGTCGTTGGAGATGGTGGCTTTGCCTGGGGTTGATGGAGAAAAGGAAGTTAAAGGCAGCCTAACATTACCAGGGGTAAAACCCTGTCTCTGGGGCTCTCAGGAGAGCTCAGCAGGCTCCTCTGCTCCACCAGAACTGAGTCCTTCCAGCCCATTTGTGGAGCAGATTCAGTGAAGTCAGTCTGAGAGCAGAACAACTTTACACACCAACAAAGGCTTGGAATTCATTTCCCTCTTCTCAAAGGCCTCCCCAGACAGATAAAACCATATTCTAGTCTGATACTTGCATGAAGAAAGAGCCTAGAAATTGTATTAGCTATCATAAGGTAAGTTTAAATCAAATGATCTTTTTGAAAAACGGTTTCTTACAGTTCCTATTTGTAAAAGCTATTTAAAGACAATATTAAGCCTTTTCACTCCACCCTTCAGTAACAAAAATAAAAAATAATTAATTTGGTGACTTCATAAAAATCTTTTCAAAGTGAGGGCAAAGCCCATCTCTAAATCACATCCCAGAAAAAAAAAAAGATTAAAAATCAACCCAGGAACATCCACTGACCTCACACTCAGCCACAACTGCTGAGTAACTCCACAGCTATCATGAGCCTCATTTAAAAACAGAGATGACTAAAAATACCTGAAGATGGGTTCCAGACTCTCTGTTTGTCCTGCACAGACCTACACTGGGCACACCCAGCCCCAGTGACTCTGCATCTCCCCAGGGAGCAGGTAGGGAACCCTCAGGCTGGACTGGGCTTTCCAGGGACATGTCCTGCACTGTCACTACACTGGGCACATCCAGCCCCTCTGACTCTGCATCTCCCCAGGGAGCAGGTAGGGAAGCCTCAGGCTGGACTGGGCTTTCCAGGGACACATCCTGCACAGATCTACACTGGGTACATCCAGACCC